TATATATATATATATATATATATAGTGAACCATGCCACCAGTCATGCCGCCTGCAGCATAACTAATCACTGTCACTCGTATGATCGCAAGTCGTATATGCTAGCACACTGTGTAAGCATTACTGAGAATATTCTTAATCCCCTGTGGAATGATTGGCCGGCCTGTGACTGACGGTCATCAATTTCAAGTGATGACGACGGTTATTGACGTCCTTTGAAAATTTACATCAAGGCTTGCCCTCAACCCTAGTAATATAGTCTCCTTGCAAATCTCTGTTGTTGTCCACGCAATCACATTCACCTTCGACAGCTTGAATATATGTCCAAGCAAGCACTTCCACCTTCGACAAGTTGTATATCCGTGTAAACTTGAACCTTTTATACAATCGATGTATATCGTCCTGAAATTCCAAGTCAACTCTGTATCAGTTCTACCCAATACTAGCTTGTAGTGTTGTCCTTTAGCCACCAGCATATATTTTAACTGAATTAATCAAATCCGCGAGCTCCTGTACAGTGATGCCTGGCTCAGCCCTAGATGTACAAAAATACGAAGTTGTCCCATTTGTATAGCTGGTAAACGCAGAGCTTGTAGAATCCGGTCGGCACCTGACCAAATTTGTCGGGAGTCCCTCTAAGCCGAGTCAATGCATATACGAAAAATTTCCGAATTTTTGACTTAGTAGCCGAAATAGCAAAATAAACTCCTTAGCGTTTTGCACATGTGTCATCAGCCCTAAGTTGTCGCTCCGACCAATGCCTTAGAATAAATAAACGCGTAGATAAATTTTATATATCGTGTAATTATCGATATAAATAACCGAAATGAGACGTTTAATAAAGTTAGGTTTGCCTCGTGAAAACAGCAATACTTTGAGGGATTGTAAGGCTGAGACATTGCCTATATATAATCCTCTCAGTACTGTTTCCGCCGAAGGGATTATATTTAGTGTTTCGTTGTCGCTCTATTCTGGAGCGAATCCGAGAGACTCATAAAATCCTATCTTTAGAAAATAGATATAAAAATAAGAATACTCTTGACGTCTTTAGTTATTGTCTTAACCAATAGCTTGCCACTATCAAGAATTACCGATTTAGCCTTCATCAGACTGGCACATCTGGTTGGCTTATCAGAGGATCAACTAGATAACGTTAATAGTCCCTAGAAACCTATACTCGGTTGAGCCATCTCGCTACCGAAGTATTCAGATATAAATAAAATTGGAAAGTAAATAAAGCTCTATTAATAGA